AGGTTGGCTGCTGCTCCGAGGCATTCCTATCCCTGCCCCTCAGCCAGGAGGCGGAGGTGAAGCCCCTCAGGTGCTCCCCTCACAGACTGGACCACTCACAACACAAGCCAGCACATCAGCCTCAAATTAAACTTCTAAACCGTTTAAATGGCTCATTCCAGCTGCTCAGCATGGGGCAGACCATGCACACGCGTAAGCAAAGAGGCTTTAGATCTTTCAGTAGTTATTTATTGTTACAGAGACTGCTCCAGCTTGAACGTGCCGCTACACCGGCGTCCCCTCGTGCTGCGCCTGCGCCTCCTTCTCCCGCGCAGCTCTGGCTCTTTCTCGCCACTCTCTCCTCTGCTTCAGCCTCTCCGGCGCTTTCAACTTCTGCACCTCCTGAAAAACCTGCAGGAGGAGCAGAAGGAGGTGAGAGGAAGGGAGATGGATCCGAGTTCTGGAGGAGAGGCCAGAAGGCACACTGTGCAGCGAGCTCCGCTCCTTCCCATATGCCTCCTCGGGGATGCCAGCCAGCCCTGTTCCCAGGGTAGCGTTTGGAGGCATTCTCTTTAGCTACCTGTCCTTTGGTTGTAACTGCACTGGGCTAAACCTTAGTATTTACAGACTGAAGGCATGTCCAGCTTTTTAATTCTGCTCAGAGATACACTGCACACAGCAGTTACACCAATGTACTGAGATTAAACGAGAGCAGACACTGGCTGTACCTGTGTTTCTGTTCCAAAGCTGCCACTAAATTGAATTGTCTCACGTATTAGCCAATACAGGCTTGGAAAACAAAGCTGGCTTGAATGATAAATTTCTGAGCAAACTAGGAAAACAACCTGAAATTCTCCAGCACAGAACATCTGCAGCATGAGTGCTGCTGCCCACTGTGTAACTGTGGAGCTCTTTGCTGAGCTTACACATTTCTCTATAGACATTATCACTGTCTCCTCAAATTCAAAGCAGCGTGGATTTCAAAAGGCTTTAACTACCAGTCTTTCCTAACTGTCCTAACTGTGCCCTTCTCCAAAGGGACTTTTTCCCACTCCAGCTTTGTGGCTTCCTTTGCAGACTGCTCCATACCTTTTGACAGAAAGCCTTCTTCACCAGCCAGCGCTTGGTGATCCTCCTGAGGTAGGGAGGGGGCAGGCTGTACTGGATATTCAGCTGCTTGCAGGTGTTCTCAAAGGTGTCAAAGCGCACACGCCGCAGATAGCTCAGGAGTTTCTTCCGGCGATCTATATCCATCAGCATGCGGCGGCGGTTAATTTTATCCTGCAAAGATTGCAGACAGATCATTCCTCTGTTCCAATAAATTACTTACAATGGACCTGATTATGGCTGAAAGGAAACAATCAGGTTAAGGACAGTATCTTAGAACCATTTTTCTTGGCAGATATTGCAGCACGTTAGGTCACTACAAGGAGATCTGAGCAAATTTAATTTACTTGCCACTGAAATTGCTTTCTTCATTCTGTGCCTGCACCTTCACCTTCCTCCCACAGCCTTGAAGGCTGTCTCCAGCTTGTAAGCAGCAGCAAATGCCACAGTGGCTTGGAGGCAAAGGCCAAAGCGAAGGTCTACTGGCTAAAAACTCTGCTTCCCCTGAAATATACTGTTCCAGAAATAACACAAAAGCATTTACCTTTTTAATGTGAAAATAAAACGTGACTTGGCTCTGATCATTTGGGTCGTTCTTTGGAAGAGAGCATGTGTAGCCAGAGCCAAACAGGGCAACCCCCCATGGGAGAAATTTCCTCAATCTGTGTAAGAAACAGGCTTCATCCAAGTAATTTCTAAAGGTGTCTTCTGCTGAAACATTTAGTACAACTTCTGGCTTCTTATTAAAACTGAATTCTATCTCGTTTTAACCCTTCAAGCTTTTATGATTAACAAATGCACTTTTTTCAAACACAGTTGATTAATCCATTTCCCACCTTTTGCACTGCATAAAGAATCTTTAATCTATCCTGTTCCTAAACTTGCAGCTGTGATGTTTCAAATTTGGGCTCTGAACCCAGGCAGCTTTAGGTAGGACCGTGGTTGTCACCACAC